TTATGCTAAAGCTCTTCATGGTGGTTGGGGAAAGGGTAGTATTTTTATATGCAGATCCTAAGCATCCTACTTTCTTATTTAGCAGATGCAGGAAACAATTGTCCTCTCTCTGTCAGAGGGAGCCCCTCAAGAATCTGGGTCCTGGAGGCATTCCATGCTGTGATGCCAAGTCCCACCCTTTCCTCACTAGCTAGCCTTTGATGAACAGAGAACACCAGGCTGTGACCAACACCTTGGGCGTGAAGTTGATCTGCATTTAGGACTTTTCCCTCTCAAAAAGGAAGCACAGGAATAGGTGAGCCTGCTTCTTTTCTTCTGTAACTAAACCTTTCTCAGCCATAGCTTCTTCCCAAATAGCTACTGAGCTCTTGGGTTAGCACTGAGTGTAATGATGAGGAATTTTCATTCATGGTTATAGGCATAAAGACAAGGGACTCACCAGGAGGATATTGAACTCTGTAGTGCCAACTTTTGGGGCTTGGGCAGGGAGAAAACCAGTGGATTCTTGTTCCCATGATGGGCTGAATTAGGAGTGGGAGGTGGGGAGAGGTAGCATGAAGGACCTATGGCAGAACAAGTGGATGCTGCATCCTAAACCTTGGGCTCAGAGCTTGGGCGGCCAGTCCTATATCTTTACTAACTTGGAACCATCCTAGAGTCTCACTCAACTGTGCACAGTATCCCAAGCACTTCCATATTTTCACATGGCATTCTACCTGTAAAGGTGGGAGAGGAGGTGTGGGAAAAAGATTTTAGGAGTTTCTAGTCAGAACCTCACAGGTAAAATCATCCTTGATTATTTATTACTGATAAGAGAGGTAATTTGAGAAAAGGTGATGAGGAATAATGCAAAATGTGCTTCTTCTCCCTCCCGCTCTGCCCTCTCACCTCCACAATATAAGTAAGTTCTGCTTACAAAGTGCATCAGTACTCTTAGGAATTGGTTGTCATATCAAATAATACCCTCTCTGTGACATATCTGGATCTTACAGACAAAAGAATGGCAGTCTCTAAATTATCTCATAGAGACTACAATGCTTATGATTTTGGAGTTTCTGTGCTCTAAGATAGTGACAAATCTGATTTTCCCCAGAGATAGGAACAGCATTTCATATATATTGGATCCTCCTAAATTCTGTGGACTGTGACTAGAACACTTTACCTGACACTTACACCAGTCACTTAGAACCAAGGCCAAAAGTCTAGTCCCAAATAGGAAAAATTTTAAACCTGGCCATTTGCCCATAAAAATGTGTCTAGTATCCTTTTAGAATCCCTCAGTTCCCAGATATAGCCAGCTCTCTTTATAAAGGCTCCCATTTAACTAGGATATTATCTAGATAACAGTCAGAATTGACTTTTCAGTTTTGTCTCAGTAGTGGACAGAAAGTTTATTTTTATTTATCCTCAATTTCCCCAACCTCCAAAACTCTTCTATAATCTTTTACTGAGAAGGACCTCTCTGCATTGGCTGGACCCAGGTTTCCCTTAAATTGTTGCTGATTGTCTAAAAGAAAGTGAAGGAGTAGTTTTGATCAGAGCCAGATTATCTCGGAAAGAGTCCTGCCTAATGACTATAGGAAGGTTACTTCTCTTTGCCTTGGAACACTTGTCTACAAAATGAAGGTAGCAGTGGTATCTAATTGGGTCAGGTTGGACTAGTGAGTTGATACAGTTAAAGCATTTACTTTTATGCCTTGCACATAGTAAGGACTTCAGGTGTTAGGTACTATGATGTCCCATGCATAGTACTTGTTATGGTTTGAATATGAAATGTCCTCCACAGACTCATGTGTTGAACACTTGGTCCCCAGCTGGTGGCACTATTTTGGGAGGTGGTGGAAGTAGGTTCTAGCAATAGGAATTAGGCCATTGGGGATGTGCATTTGAAAGTTATAACTGGTCCTCAGTCCCTTATTCTCTCTCTGTTTTCTGTCTGCCATGAAGTAAAGAAACCTCATCAGCCATACATTCCCACCACCATGATGTTTTGCCCAAGTGCATGGGGCCAAGAAACCATGAGCTAAATTGGCCACTAGTGGCTTATACTTGCAATCCTGGTTACTTGGGAGGCTGAGATCAGGAGGATTGTGGTTTGAGGTCAGCCTAGGTGAGACCCCAACTCCAAAATAGCCAGAGCAAAATGGACTGGAGGCATGGTTCAAGCAGCAGAGTTCTTGCTTTGTAAGTGCAAAGCTCTGAGTTCAAACCCCAGTCATACCAAAATAAATAAATAAACCACTTGCTAAAATAAATCTTTCCTCCTTTAAAGTTGTTCTCCCAGGTCTTTTGGAGCACAGCTATGCAAAAGTGGCTAATACATAAGCTCCATTTTTGAAGTCAAAACTTGACCTTTCTTTTCTTCTCTGTGATTGGACTTGACAGCTAGAGTATAAATTGAAAAAAGAGAAGGCTTGTCTCATGGATGCTAAAGATATATACTCCTGTACTCTTCCAGGAGTGTCTTATTTATTCAAAAATATCTATTGAGCAACTACTGTGTACCTGGCTCTACTATGGGTCCTGATTATATGAGTAAATAAGACAGATCAGGTCCTTGCTCTCTTGAACTCACATCATCAAGATCCAACAAATGCCAGCATTCTATGACAATTTCTCATTAATTGCCTCTTCTTCAGTACACTGTATTCAGAATTATGACCCTGAATCACCATGAGATTCTGAAGTGTCCTATGAATCACCAAAGGAAGACAGCATAATGGGCACTATAGCTCTAGCGACATTCATATTTTGTTGCATTACACTAATTTTTTGAAAATAGTCTATGTAATGCAACTATAGTTTCCACAAATATCTAATTAAACTGAATGGCCTGTCCTAGACCACACTGAGAAATTGAACTCTTACCCAATACAGTTTATTTGTACAGTGTTGTTAGTTTTGTTTTGTTTTCCTTGTGTGATTCTCAACAATTGTGATAATGAGCCTTTTCTCTCTGGATTGTAACCTTCACTGGGAAGGAACAATCCTAAACCTGTGCACATCCTACTGATAACATTGCCTAACCATCTGCCAGCCCCAAGGAGAGAAGGCCAGGTCAAGGTGAAGTGAGAAAAGATCTTGTCTCTTACCTGAGATCTGCCCAGTGCCCAAGCCACCTCATGGAACCTAACTTGGGTGCTGTTCTCTAAAGCTCAAAGGAAACCGTCAGGGGAATATGGTCCCTCACCTCTGTCCTGTAGCTCTTTCAGCTTCTTTGAAACAACCTGATGGGGTGGAGCTCCCCAATCTTCTTCCCAGCACCGATGCTTTTGCTTTCAGGTTCCTGGGCTACATCTTTAGAAGTGTTTAGGAGTTGTTCCTATTTTTGACTTGAAGGAATTCATCTGCTAGAAAGCCAAGAAGAGGTCAGGAGTCCTAGTGTTTCACTGCAGGTACACACACATACACACCCCATGTACATACATGCATCACATACATGCATATACACACACTGATGTGAGCATACCTGTACTCTCAAAGGAGAAGAATAGAGACACTCTTGAGTTCTTGCAAAAAAGGAGACTCCAGGGGTGGAAGGGACACAACAGAGAAAGAAGTCAGGTTCTATTACAGAAAGAGAACAGGAAAGAGGAAAGAGAAACTCAAGTATGGAAAGGGACACTAATGGTAGGGAAAGAAATTTTATTTTCAAGCTTTTAAGAGAATATTACAAACAACAGAGAGTTTAAAAAAAAAAAACCCTAAAAACTAGCTTAAAAAAGTACTTGACAGTGTCCGTTTAATACCCAAGGATGATGTGGCCATTGTGCAATGATAAGAAAACTCTGCAGGTGACCACCCAGTGGTCTTCCCTGGCAGGGTCCTGGGAACGAGCAGGTGGGCTCCTAAGACAGTGCTCCTGGTTGCACAGGACGGGAGCACATAGCACTGAGCATGAGCCAAACTGCTTCTTTGGGAGGGTCCCAAGCAGTGAAAAATACTTAGACTGGTCTCTGCTCTGCTACTTGGGACACGTCGGCCAACTTCCTCCAAACCACAGCAGCTCTCCTGGGAGGCCCTGGGTAGAAGGAGCCTTGCATGGGCAGCCTGGACCTGTGCATGTGCCAAGGCCAGAAAGGCATGGCACTGAGCTGTCCTGGCCATGGATGGGGCTGAGTAGTTGGGAAAGTTACTGACAGCTCCGAAGGCTGAAGCCACAGCAGCAGACTATGCTTGAGATATCCACAGGTAATCTGTACTTTCCTTTATTGTGGTGTGTGTGTGTATGTGTATGTATGTGTGCTGTAAACATCCTTGAGCCAAATCACCATACAATAAAGTAACAAGGGCACAGAAAGACACCAGCTCCAAGCCTCAACCCTTTTTGAGCTCACCTGCAATTGGGAGTTCCAGTTGGGAAGGTTCTTATGGGTTGAGACACACCCTGTCCTATGGCAGCTCACACCAACCTCTCCCTCCCACCACCCACCCCCAGGCTCCCTAAAAGCCATTTGAGTCATTGAATTTTGCCACCCACGTTAGGACAGAGGCCACAAAGCCTGCTGGTGTCCCCTACCAGCCCACATGGGTCCTACCTCTTCCCCTGACTACCACTGAGGGAGAAACAAAAACAAACTCAAGATTGAAAGAGCAGGCTACAAATGCTTTTCCTCTGGATGGCAGTGGCCTTTGCCTTTTCTTTCTGCTACCTGTGCACCCAAGATTGCACAGACTTTGCCCTCCCAGCTCTCCTCCTGGGTGTCTTGCTATGGGTGCATCTGGTGGTCATTTTGTTAGGATAGACTCCATCTGTATTGCCTGTTGTTGCTGAATTTGTGTTGGTTTTGTTGCTGTTGCCATTGGACAAATAGAACTGAGTGACTGGAGCCAGGTGGCAGGCTCCTCTCAGCTCCACCCTGTTCTGGGCTCCTTGGAGGCCACCACCCTCTCCTCGCTGCTGTCTGCTCTGGTCTCCCCACCCCTGCTCCCTGGCTCGCATCCGGCTCAGACCCTCTCCTGTGCTGTGCGTGGTCTCGGCCTTCCTTCTAGGTCTCCTTTCACACTGTCGTGACTCTCATGACCAGCTCTCGGCTGCCACCCTGGGGGCTCCGCTGTTCATGAGGTCTCAAGTGACTCAGGATATGCAGAATGGTGTAAGCACAGTGGTGTTGGGACACAGGGCCTTCAGGGTGGCCAGCAGCCCGGGCAGGGCCCTCCTCAGGGGCAGGGGTGCTGACTGCCTCCTCTTCCAAGGAGGGGATATTGGCCTGGGTAGATGAGGATGTCCTCAGGTTTGTCCTGCCTCCTGACTTTTGATCCTCCAGGTCTTTTGTCTTGTCATAGTTCAGCACTTTCCACTGCTGGTTGACAGCCTGCCACCGTTTAAAGATGCGGTACACTGAGGGTCCCTCATGGATGATGAGTCCTGGGCAACAGGGAAAGGAGAAAAACAAAAGCTAAGCCAGGAGAAAACTACCATCTGCCTTAATTTACAGGCATACAAATTGTGGAAGCTAAGGTTTTATTGGTTTGATTTGTACTTTTCAAATCTACCTTCTAGCTTTGAACCATGTAATTCCGTGACATCTAGATTCCTATGCTTGATGAGTCATCAGAAGGGAGAAGGTAGAGGGACCACCACTCAAGTTCATTAAATAGCTGGGCACCTACATGCAGTGCTTTGCTTTATCTCTTATACCCCATCCCACCTCCTTCTTCGCTTGACATAATCCAAATTCTTCTGTTGACGCATAATATAAATATCTTTTCCTCCCTGTATTGCATATCCATGACAGCCAGTACTTAGCAGATGTTGAATGAACCGTGTGCTTTTTAAGACAACATAAAAGAAACCCTGTGGTCATTCTAGACCTGCTGAATGATGTCTGAAATTCTACTGGTTAGCTCTTTGCACAAATAGCTACTGAAATACAAACTCCCCTGGGAGAGAGTTATATTGGCTAGTTATATTGGCCAAAGGCAGTGGTACAGTGGAAACAAGCCACACCAGGCAACTAGGCCAATAAATGTCAATTGTGTACCTACTGTGCTCCAAGCTGTGGGATTCCGCAGTGACTAAGACACAGAGCCTCTCCTCAGAGAGTTTACATGCAAGAGGAGGACTAATCAGACCATTTCAGGTGCTGACAGATGCTTGAAGGAAGTTAGAATATGGTTAAATGGCCACAAGTTGCAGACCTTGAGGACAGTGGGAAAGACCTTTGGAGGAGGTAGTGTTTAAGTAGAGACTTAAATGTTGAAAAGGAGGGATTCTGACAAAGATCAGAAGAGAGAGGACCTTAGTGGTAGGAAATGTAAGTGCATGAGCCAGGAGGTGGGAATGGAATGAACAAGGGTCAGAATGAAGGTCAGCATATCCACTATAGTGAATGTGTGAGGATGTGAAGGAAGATGAAGTTGGCAGAAGCCAAGCTATGACGAGGTCATGTAGGCCATGGCAAGGAATTTTTATTTTGTCCTGATATAATGGGAAATCTCAAAGGGCTTTAACAGGGAGAATGATGGGCTCTGATTTTCTCCAAAAAGCTTTCTCTGCTGGGCTCTGGTGGCTCATGCCTGTAATCCTGGCTACTCAGAAGGCAGAGATCAGGAGGACTGCAGTTCAAAGCCAGCCCTGGATAAATAGTTTAAGAAACCCTATCTTGAAAAAACCCGTCACAAAAAAGGGATGGCAGAGTAGTTCAAGCAGTAAGAGTGCCTGCCTAGCAAGCATGAGGACCTGAGTTCAACCCCTAATGCCACAAAAAAAAAAAAAAAAGATTATTCTGAGCCAGGTGTAGTACTTCATCCTGTAATCCTAGCACTAGGGAGGCTGAGGTAGGAGGATCTCAAGTTTGAAGCCAGCCTGGGCTATGTAGCAAGACCCTGCCTCACAGAGCTTACTCTGGCTCCAATAGGGACAAGAGTGGAGGGGAAAACTAAGTAGGAAATGATGCAGTCATTCAAGTTGGAAATGACAGAGGCTTAAGTTAGGGGGCTAGGGTTATAGTTGTGAAGACAGTGAGACATCATGGGAGGCAGGAAGTTTGTTGGCAGTCTGACAGACTTGCTGCCAGGTGAGGTGAGGTGTGAACAAAGAGAAATCTCTACTCAGCTGTGAAACTTTTGGCCTCTGCAGTTGGATGAGTAGGAGGGCCATTTATTTTTATTTATTTATTTATTTATTTTGATCTTCATTAACTTTATTTCCGTAGTGGTAAAATAGCTATAGAGTACAGACCCAGGGAAGATGCCAAAAGTGAAGAACTACACGAGTTCACTCATGTGGAGAGGAAAGCTCAAGGGTGCCTTAGCCAGTGTAGCCATGCTTCAAAACAGGCAACAGGATTTGGAGGACTTGTGCACTTATCATTCTTAGCAAAATGGGAACCTCAAGTGAATTAATTGAATACAGGGGATTTCTGGGGCGTTTCCTAAACTCCCAGTCTTAACTCTGAGCTCTTGTTTGAAGTGTGGAGAACAGGACTGAGGCCTCTGAGTACTACTATAGTTGTGGATACAAGAGAGGGGCTGGGCTCCCTCCGTCTGCAGGGGTTCAAGAGGTCAGGATGATTGAACATAAATCTTTTTAGAACTCTTCCCAAACAGGATCCCAGGGATTGGGAACAAAGTACTAACTTCAGCCTTATGCCATTATTTTATGCCTGTGAAAACCATTACGCTTTTCAACTGTGGAGTACTACCTAAATCTCAGCATCTTCCCATGTCTCACGGAGAATATTTTGCCTTCCAAAGAACCTTTCTATAAATCAATTATCTGAAAGTCCCTAAATCTTACGGATTAAGTTGCCAAAGTAATTTCTAGAAGGAAATAGATATTACTTACTGTGTATAGGATAGGCTAAGAGGGGAGGAGCAAAAAGTGTGTTTCATGCCAGTGGGAACTTAATTTAGGGATTTTTTTTGATCATTTAACTTGGCCTGAATTTGTGAAGTGTTTTGTCTTGAAACGGTAGAGATAAAGCTGAAAAAGTATTGGAAGCTTTTCCCGTGTAAAATAATTATGTTCGTTCAGTTTAAATAAAACCAGTCACAGTTTAGGAGGCCTAGCTTCCTGTGAAATGAGAGAGAAGTCAGCACTGATTGCAGAAATCTGATTATAACAGATCCATCCTTAAAACCATCACAATATGCCCAGCCCTGTGCAAGGTGAGGGGAATAAATAGGATGAAGCCTATTCTGGGACTTTACATGATGGGCCATGGTGGACAATAAACATACAGTAAAATAGGTTGTTGTAAGAAGGGCTCTGAAGGAAGTAATGTCTTGTCATGCGTGCACATGGGGTAGACCTCTGAGTCGTGGTGGTGTCACTTCTAGATTCTCACTGTGTTGAGCCAAGGCGGGATGTGGTTGCTTCCCCAGGCCAATGTAAGGGGCCATGTCAGACTCTAACCTTCTGTGTCAGGCTGAATTGCCCACCGCCCAAGACCCCTCCCGCAGAACTTTTGGAATCATCCCTGATTCTCTGGTAGCCCCAACAAGGGAGTGGTGGAACATGAACCGTGGAACTAAGAGTTTAGAGGAAATGGCAGCATTGTGGAATAAATAACTGTAATGTGTGCTGTCTTGCCTGCACCCTAATTGGCTCTGATTTCGCAGGCGAGTTGCTTTTCTTGGAAGCAGTACAGCCAAGGGGAAGAGTATCTCTGGGATGTCCGCTTGGAAGAGGAGAAACTCAGGTTGCCGGAACTGGATTAGCCCTGGGAATATCCCTGGAGGCCCCGCCCTGCCCCGCCATACCCAATGGGCTGCTGCCCCCAGGTCTGAGCTCCAACCCCGCCTCGCTGTGGGGGAGGGGCCCCATAAAGGCATTTGTGGCCTCCTCTAGGGGAATGACATTTGGGTCTTGTCTTTGTGGGAAAAGGCTCCTTACTGCAGGGCCTGAAGCCCAACTGGGCTGAGCCTTGTAAGGGTTTGTTACCTAAACAAAGGTGTCATAAAGGGTGGGTGTGACAGGGCAGGAGCTGTGCCAAGGTGAGCTAGGGAAGCTGCCAGAAGGGAAGCTGTGACTCTGCATGACATGTCCCTGTTGCATGTCATGTCCCTTCTAGGTATTTGGGCCCCAAGGCTCCTTCTCATGTGGCTAGAGTTATGGTTGTTGACCCAGGGTTTTCCCATTCCGAAGAGGGCCCAGGACTTGGTCCAGCTGACCTCCGAAGCGCCTGGGCCAACTGAGCCCTGGTCCTTACACTCCTGGGACCTCCTTCCTGACTCGCCCGAGAAGCTCACACCCCCGGCAAACCCGGGGGGCTTTGATTATCTGGGATCATCTGCTCCCTCGCAGGTGCTCTCCCCACCTCACTTGTTGACTGACAGTTTGCTTCCTTTCCTGGACCGGGAATCTGCTAGGCAGCTGTCTCCAGAGCCAGATCAGTTGGCTGTTGCACACAAGGAGCTGCGTGACAAGCTAAATCTGCCTGAGTGACCCCCAGAAGCGGTGCCCATGCCCAGTGGGGAAGAGAATCAGGCCCCAGCTCTGCCTCTTCTACTCAAAAGTAAGACTCAGCCTGTCAGTCTAGATCAGGCTTCAGATCAAGTATTTGATGTATTTGTTCCACTTCTTGATCGTAAGAGATCAAAAAGAAAAATGTTTATTGGTTTACCCTGGAAACTGAAAAAGTATGTAGCTCAGCATCACGGACTTGAGGACACTGTGGTTGTAACTCCACACCAATTTGCAAACCTTCAGCTTCAGACACAACCCTTGCAGGATGATCCAGGTCTGAGCACAGCTGATTCTGACAGCCCTCCTCTGAAACCTCAGGAGAGCACAGATGAGCCTCCAGAGCCCCTTGAGCAAGTTGAACCTTCTGCAGTCCAGCAAGAAGCCCCAGTTCAACCCTCAGACTTGCCAAAAGTCACCATGAAACATATCGATCTGGAGGTTACACTAACTCCAGAGCCTTCTCCAAGGCAGAAGCAGGCCTCAGAGAGTACTGAGGACGTAACACTCTCATCCACCCAACAAGAGGCTCCAGCTCAGACTTCAGAGCTCCCTGAAGACACTGAACCTTCTGCAAGACAGATGGAAGCCCCAGTTCAGCCTACAACTCCTCCGAAAGAAGTCAAACCTCCTGTTGAGCAAGATCCTACAGATGAAGCTCCAGAGTCCCCTATGGAGAACACAGCTCCAACTCTACCAAATCAGGAGGTGACGGTTCAACCTCCAGCTCAGGATCAAGCTCAACAAACTATCTTGCCCAGTGTTACAGGTAAGCCTGTGGATGTGGAAATCACCATGACATCAGAGCCTACCAAGAAGGCTGCATCTTCTCTAGCCCAGCCACAGGCCCCAGCTGAGCCTTCTGAATCTCCCGGGGAGGCTGAAACTTCTGGAACCCATCTGCAGTCCCCAGTTCAGCCTCCAGAGTATGGTGAGGAGCTTCAACCTTCTTTAACCCAGCAAGTGGTCCCACCTCAGCCTTCAGGCCCTCTTTCAGAGACTGAAACTTCTCCCAGTGAGCAAGAACAGCCAGCTCAACCTTCTGAGTCTTCTGAGGAATTGGAACCTTCTGGAAGCCAGACAGAAGCTCCAGTTCAGCCTGCAAAGCCATCTGAGGAAGTCAAGCCTTCACCTGAGCAAGAGGTTCCAGTTCAAGCTCCAGAGGCTTCAGTTCAAGCTCCAGAGGCAACAGTTCAAGCTCCAGAGGTGACAGTTCAAGTTCCCGTTCAGAATCAAGCACAACAGGATAACTTGGCCAGTGAAACAAGTAAGCCTGTGGATGTGGCAATTACCATAACTCCAGAGCCAGCCCAAGAGGCTGCATCTGCTCTAACTCAGCCTTCAGAGTATGCTGAAGGGGCAGAACCTTCTCTCGGTGAGAAGGAACAAACAGTTCAGCCTTCTGTGTCTCCTGGGGAGGCTCAACCTTCTGGAATTCACATAGCTGCTCCAGTACAGGCCTCAGAGCATACTGAGGAGTTTGAACCTCCTCCACCCCAGCAGGAACAACCAGCTGAGTTCTCAGTGTCCTCTGAAAAGTCTGAAGCTTTGAAAACCAGCATGAGATTACAACTCAGATGCCAGAACCCTCAGAAAGGATGAACTTTCTCCAGTCAATCAAGGGGCTACAACTCAGCCAGAAGAGCTTCCTGAGGAACCTTCTCCAAGCCAGCAGGAGAGCTCAGTTCCTCCTGTAATGCCCCCTGCGAATGCTGAACTTTCACCAATTCAGCCACAACTCCCAACTCCGTCTCCAGAATCCTCTGAGGAGGCTAGTGATCTTCCTCCATGGGCAGATAACACATCACTTTCACCTCACGATCTGTTGTAAAGGATGGCTGTTTTCAAGAATCCAAGTTCATGTTGTTTTTGTTGTCCCACCACTGTACAACTGAAGCAGTTGTCTTCTTCTTTGGCTTTTTTTTTTTTGTAGAAATCTTGGTTGCAATTTAATCACAGAATTGAACTTTGGAACATTTCAGGCATGGCATGGAATGCAGTTTTTACAGCAAGTGTAAGTGGAATAGAAGATAAGCATGTTTCAAAACTGAATTATGTCTTTCATGTAGTCTCATAGATATTGAAAATGACCATTTAATTCCATTGCATTTTTCAGAATTCTCAGTCGTAATCCTCTGACAACTGTCGAAGATTCCCATCTTTTTAAATTGCCAGCATTAAAGTACCTGCATACAATGAATAGCCAAGCCTGGTCCTGTGTATAATTTCTTATGACATATATGGCATTTAAAATGCTTTGCTTTTTGGTGCTGTATGAGAAGTTTTTCATCATCAAAATCTCTATTACAATACCAGCACCACGGCTTCAGCTGCTTCTTCTTTTTGCGACCCATAACTGCGCTCTACCAACAAAGTAAAAAGGAGGAGAAAAAAGAAGGAAAAAAAGCGAGGAGAAAAATCGCCTGCTTTTCTGACCCAACGGCCACACCGCGTCCCACAGGAAGCCGACACAAAATGGCCGACAGGATCGTTCGCTCTCCGCCTCCCGTCAGACACTGCCAGGAGTGCCATTTATAAATGGGGGAATGAATTGACCAGATAGTGAAAAGAAGAAGTCTTTTTGAGACTTTTGAGACTTCTTCAAAAGAAGAAGTACACATAGTCAATAAATACATGAAGAAATGTTCAATATCTTTAGCCATCAGGAAAATGAAAATCAGAACTACATCTCACCCCAATCAGAATGGCTACAATCAAGAAAACAAACAGTAATAAATGCTGGTGAGGATGTGAGAAAAAGGAACCCTTATACATTATTGGTGGGAATGTAAACTATTCTAGCTATTACGGAAATCAGCATGGGAGTTCCTCAAAAAACTAAAAATAGAACTACCATATGACCCAGCTATACCACTCCTGGGTATATACCCAAAGAAACCGAAGTCAGCATACAATAGAGGTATGTGCACATTTGTGTTTATTGCAGCACTACTCACAGTAGCCATGTTATGGAATCAGCCTAGGTACCCATCAATGAATAAATGGATAAAGGAAATGTGGTTTGTATGTATATATATATATATATATATACAATGAAGTTTTATTCAGTAATAAAGAAGAACAAAATCATGTCCTTTGCAGGAAAATGGATGGAACTGGAGATGATCATGTTAAGCGAAATAAGCCAGACTCAGAAAGACAAATATCACATTTTATTTCATATGTGGAATAGAGATTTTTAAAAATATGTGCAAGTAGGAGAGGGACTATTTGGGAAGAGGAAGGGGACTGGGGGGCAAGAGAGGGTAATGGGGAATGAAGATGATCAAAGTACATTGTATACATGTTTGAAAATGTCATAACGAAGTTCATCATGTTATGCAATTAATATATGTTAATAAAAGGTTTTAAAAAGAAGTGATTAGGTGATGGTACACTCCTGTAATCTTGGCACTTGGGAGACTGAGGCAGGAGGATCTCAGGTTTGAAGCCATCCTGGGCTACACAGCAAGACCCTGTCTCAAAACACAAAACAACAGCAAAAAGAAGTGATCAGGCCATGGGAGCTCCTTCTACATGAATAGGATTGTAAGAAAAATGATCTTTTCTATCCAAGTATTTGTTACCCTCTGAGATTACTTAAAAATTCCTCAGGTCACCATCTTAGGTGACTTGCATGTTTAAAGGGTCCTTGCTTCTTCTCGATTCCTGTAGGACTCCATTGCCCAACAAACTGCATGCCCTAACCCATCCCTCAAGCCTTTTAGCCAATCGAGAGAGACTGTGAACCTTTGACTGGACAAATCCCAGGTGAGGGGCAGGTACAACTGCGTCAGGGTTATAAGGAGGAGACACTGTCAGCCATTTTGTGCTTGCACGTTTGCTTAGCAGGAGTGAGCACATGCTTGCACCCTCTTGATCAAGAGAAAATTGCGTTGTCAAGATTTTCTGTCTCTTGTATGTCTGTTTTTGGCACCAGAGGGTTATCAATTACAACAGGATTATGTGCCCTTATAAAGGGGCTTGACAGAGAGAATTGGTTCTCACTTGCCTCACTTGTGAGGATGTAGTAAGAAATTACTCACCAGATAATCTGCACCTTTCATCTGCACCTTTCCAGACTCCAGAACTGTTACAATTTTCTATTATTCATAAATTGTCTAGTCTTGGTTATTTTAGTATAATACAAAATAGACTATGACAGTTGGAATTTGAGAATGGCTGAGATATCTGAGGAGAGAAGAAGGCTAATGACTGTGCTTCTGGTGGTTAGAGGTTTGGTGAGTAGAGCCAGAAAAAAAGAGGCTTTACTGAAGCAATCAGTGAGGTGGAAGCCAGAAAAGCAAGTGGGAAGACCCAGAAGTACAGAGAAGGATGTTTCAAGAAGAGTGTGATAACTC